CCAAGGAAAATTGAGGTTTTGGTTTAATAGAGTGGGTTTTATATTATCAAGCATCTGCATTAACACAGGTAAAAGAATGGATAACTCTTAGAAACAAAAGGTTGTTACATTTGGAGGGGCATGATTTAAAATTAGGGTGGCACGCTTTTTATGGTACAGGAAAAATAAAATTCATAAATACTTCCAAAATTACTATATAAGAAATGCATTATTAACAACATGGGAAAAAATAAAATGTAAAATATATTTGAAAATTCCAGGGTGGTTGTCAACAATGGAAGCATTTGTATAATCAAATTTAGTGGACTTTGAAAAAATCTGGACATATAGATATTCTAAACTCTAAAGGGAATTTAAAATTTAAACAAGAAATGGAAAATCAGGGCATCAATTTATCATGGTGGGTGTATTTGCAAATGCAAACTAGATATTATAAAGATGTTAAACTGTATGGATTTTATAAGGAACAAACTGTGTTTGACAAGATATTGTTAACTTCTGATGAAAAACTAATTAAGAAAATGTATAACTTTTTATTAATTTTGAAAATGGAAAGCAAGCAAGTTAAAGAAACAATAAGATGGGTGAAAATTTTTGGAAACAATATAAATTAGAAAAATGGCAAAATTTATTGGAAAGAAATTATAAACTGACAATGTTAACTTCCTACAAAGAAAATTTATATAAAATGTTTTATTGATGTCACTTGCCACCAGCAAGATTAGCAAAAATATTTAAAAATATGGACGTTAGAAATGTAAACACAAGTCAGGCACTTATTACCATGTTTGGTGGAAATGTGACAAAGCAAAGAGTTATTGGAAAAAGATACATGCTTGGCTAGAAAAGATGTTGGGAGAACACATAAATTTTAAACCTGAACTTTTTTTATTAGGTATAATGCCAGAAAAGACTGATAAACAAAGTATATATTTGATTTTGCACGTTACAACAGAGGCAGAATTATATTTGCACAATATTAGAAAAATGAAGGAATACCATCAGATGAAGAAATAATTAAAAAAATATTAGAATGCGCAGAGATGGATAGACTGACTATGAGACTGAAAGAAAAAGAAGAAACAGAATATTACCAAACTTGGGACTTATTTTATCGATGGCTACAGGAAAGAATAAAGGATTAGGAACAAAATATTTATTAGCGAATGTAAACTCAGACAGTACGTTTGTTGAATAAATACTACTGAATGTATGGGGAAAAAACAATAAAAACTTTTTTAAAAAACAAAATTAATGCCATTTGTTTCCCTGGATGCATTTTGTAATATTCCAAAGTATCTAAAATCATTCTTAGGTTGTTCTTTGTCTCTTTGGTAAAAATCCATTTTGGTCTGGTCTCTTCAGTCTTTCTGCTATTATTGAGGCAAAAATTTTGTAATCCACATTTAATAAGGATATTATTAGTTGATCTTTGGTAACCCTTAAATGATACCTATTAATGTTCTCCACCATCACAGCATGTTTATCTGTAGTCTGGTCAGTAACTTGGTTTTTCTTTTCCTCCTCTCAGTAAAATGGTGAGACCAACATTTGTAAACATTTCCACAGTGCAATTTCTGCAGAGAGCAAAGCTGCAACATATTGTGAGAAGAAATATTCTTTTCCAAATACCACAAGGATGACAAAACACATCCTTGCATGCCATAGGTGCCTTAAAGACATTAAAAAATACTTTATCAAATTAAATGATGAGGACCAGAGTGAAAGTGCAAGTAACTTTTCCTTCCAGAGTTCTAATTCCAGAAACACTCTTTCTGCTGCTTCTGGATCATCACATGTGTTTCTTCACCAGCAGCATCTAAGGAAGGAAGTGTTGCAAAATACACAATAGTTTATAGATAAAATGACACCTGAAAATCAGGAGAAAATTGATCACATTCTTGCAAAAGAACAATATATGCTTCTGGATCAGCATTGTCAATAACTGAAAATGCATATGGGCAGGAAGCTTTTAAATTATTACAACCATCATACCAATTGCCAAGCAGACATTCCTTGAGCAAAGCTCTTTTGGAGTCAGAATATGAGTGTGTGATGGAATCTGTACAAGGAAAAATCAGTGAAGCACTATGTCTTGCAGTACTTACAGATGAATGGACAAATGAAGGAATAAAGAACTTTGTGATAACAACACCTCAATCAGTCTTTTATAGAAGCATTGAAACTGAGAGGATAGCCATACTGCAGAGTATGTCAGCAATGAAATATGTGTAGTTTTAAAGAAAACTGAGAGTGGTAAAGTATTTGCTTTGCTGAATGACAATGCAAGTAATATGAAATCATAATGGACAAGTATCAACATATTACTGCAATAGGATATGCATCTCATGAACTCTACTTACTTCTTAGTGACTTCATGAAACTGGACACCCTTCAAAGGATCTATAGAAAAGCTAAAGAAGTTATCAAATATGTAAAAGCTACTCGTGTTGTCACCGCTGTCTTCAAGAAGCAAGAAGAAAAAAATGCACAAAATAAAATAGTGACACTGAAATTCTGTAGTAAAACACATTGGGGTAAAGTGGTGATCTCCTTTGAAAGTTTACTAAAAAACAAAGAAGCTCTTCAAGCAACAGTAACTGAGGATCTTAAAATTCCCAGAAATATAAGGAACACTTATACGAGGCTGTGTTTTGGGTTCAGCTGCAGAACTCCGTACAGATGTTAACAGCATTTTTTTCAGCAATCTGTGCATCTGAATCAGACACTGCACTTTTGTCAGAAATTCCTAACCACATGGCTATGATAAAAATTGTTTTTGAAAAGCTAAGTACATCTCCGCTTACAACTGCTGAAAAAAATAAAGTGAAAGATTTTATTAAGAAACAGGAAGAATTTTGTTGCCATCCAGTATATGCTGCTGCAAATCTACTGGATCCAAGATTCAAAGGTGTGAGTGATGAGAATACAGCTGCTGCATTTGACTGGATTACGAAACAAGCTGTGCACTTAGGACTTGGAAAAGTATTTTCAGACATTGTAGAATATAGAACATCTTCAGAGATTTGGGCCAGGAAAGCATTCTGGGATTCTGCAAAACATATCTCTCCTGCAACATGGTGGCAAAGTCTCTGCAGCACACAATCTCTGATATCTCTTGCATCTCATTTACTGCAGATTCCTGCATCTTCTGCTGCATGTGAAAGAGTCTGGTCTATGTTTGGTAATACTCATACCAAATCAAGAAACAAACTGACTTGTGAACGGGTAGAAAAGCTTGTTTCAATCCATGCAAACCTAAAGTTTTTAGAAGTCCATGAGAAAAAAGACAAACAGGAAGAGGAAGAAGAAACGGAAAATAATAGCAGTAGTTCAGAAAATGAGATAGAATAAACTGCATGTATATGTTGTCTTCTGTTTCTTTTTTTTAAAGCACCATTCAAAAAGTAAACCTTCCATGGAGTTTAAATAGTGAAGTATACCTTAACTTTATTTGCTATTGGCGCTAAGGGGCAAATCCAATTAATTTTTAGGTTGATAGTTTCTTGCTTTTTTGTTGCTTTTGAGGGAAAGGGGATGGTTATCTGTTTTATTGCAAGCATAATACTTTTATATACACTGTATTTCATGCAATTTGTAAAATTACTCTACACTGAACTTTTTTTTTTCAATTTTTCCAGAATTTCTATTTTTTCCAGGAAAAAACAGAGAAAAAAATGGGTTTTTTTCCTCACGGCTTCAAAATTTCTGGAAAGTTTACATCTGTACATACCACAAGCTGCAACAAGGATGAAACACAAGGTCATTCAGGCATGTGGGCTGGGTCCTGCCTATCGCTCTTAGAGAAGAATCAACAGAAGCCATCTGGTTATAGGAACAGCAATAAACAGACTTCACCTTCCATATCTGACCTTGCCTGGACAAACTACAATTACTGACAAGGATATCATTACTGTTGCTATTCCTTCAATGTACTGGTTTTTTTTTTTTACAACAAAAGTCAATTACAAGGACTGCAATCATATAAAAAAATTAACAGCCAATTCAGCATTAACTCTCTCCCAAACAGAATGCCAAAATCTAGAAATAAGACTTGGGGGGGGGGGGCGTCTACAGGGCATGGTAAGGAAATCACTGCTGCATCTTGCCTTTGAAAAGTATTTCCTATGAACATCCCTCCTCTGGTGCCAATCCCCCCAATTTCCAGCCCCACAGAAGAGGCCTCGGACTCTGTTCTATAAAGGATTCCATGTGCTGAGAAAGTGAAAGCCGGACTGTGAGGTCAGAAACACAAGCAGAGCTGGCGGGGGATTCCTGCGCCTGGGGGACATGCCCAGAATTGCCTTTAAAAATAGGACTGCACTTCAGAAAGGAAGGTCACAACCTTTCGTTGCACAAGCCCGATTTCTCCTTTCTCTACTCTCCAAATGTGAAGCACAAAAAGACTCTAACCCAAACAATATCTCAAACTATAAGAAGATGCTAAGAATAAAATAAAGTAGGTGCTCAGGGATGTCCGCTCTTGCAGTGCATGAAAGCCAGTGTGCCAGGCAAATTCAGGCATTTGGGGGGCAGCTCTTCCCAACTGCATGCTCTCAAATGGGCTGCAGTCTGACTTTCTGAATTCCTAGTCCAGTGGTTCTCAACCTGTGGGTCGGGGCCCCATTTGGGGTCGAATGACCATTTCACGGGGGTCGCCAAACCACGCTGTCCGCCATTTTTTTCCCTTTTCCCCAGCTGTCCTACTCCCTTTTATTGGTGGCCACACCCACTTGGGGGTCACCACAACATGGGGAACTGTATTATGGAGTCACAGCATTAGAAAGGTTGAGAACCACTGTCCTAGTCCCTTTGAGCCACATGGGCTCAAGATTATGGAAGGTGATGTCCAAGTCATCTGGAGAACAGCAACTCCTATGGAACAGATGCTGTAAACCACACAGGAACTGAAAGGAATGTTCCCTCCAAATGGATCCACCCCTGCTTAGCTTCTCCAGACTGATTTGGTAAAACAATTTCCAATTTCTTGCCCTGCTCACCATTCTTCCCTGAGGTTTCCTCATTATTTATTCCATCTGTGTCTAAAATTGCTGGTAAGTCTTCTGTCTAAAAAAAGAAACAAATGCACAGAAAAATATTTTTAGAATATTTTTTTTAAATGCTACCTTTTTTAATACACAAAGAGAGCCAACTGTGTCCTAATCAGTTTAATTGTGTTTCCTGTCTTCCCTTTAATCAGCTCATCACTCTGGTTATAATAGTCTAGCCAGCGCTTTGCTTCCCCAGCTTCAGTTGGTAATGCTCAACTTAAAGCATCATTGCTTCACACAAGGACCCTGGCTGACAGTACATCTCAGTGTTTGTTTTTCATCTGTGCTACAGCTGGTCAATAGAAATATTTAGAGATGTTTCTTTTGGCACTTCTGCTACAACCGATTGCTGTAAATTAAGGATATAAGATTAAAAATAATTCTAGTAAACTATACTTTTATGCGCATCACACAAAAGATGATCACTGCAAGTACCTTACAGCTTACATTTCATTTGGGGACTCTCTACTGAAACAGACTCTCTACAACAGTGTTTCTCAACCTTGACCATTTTAAGGCATGTGGACTTCAACTCCCAGAATTCCACAGCCAGCATTGCTGGCTATGGAATTCTGGGAGTTGAAGTCCACATGCCTTAAAATGGTCAAGGTTGAGAAACACTGCTCTACAATATCTTGGCTAGCAACACTGTCTCTCCAGGAAGCCAAGGACGGTCTGCTTGCAGAGCACAAGCTCTGGAAACAGAGGAAGTCTGTGCCTCAGTCTTCTACACTCATTTGGAAGCAAAAGGCCCCACCTCCCACTCCCATCTCCTCCTATGAGACCTGTGTGCTGCAAAGGTCCAACACAGTTCTAGGAAGCACCACTTTCAAAGTCCAGGTCGCTGATGGAAGCTGCCAGAGTATTACTTCAATTTGCAGAATCCAAACCATTGTAAAAAAGGAGCTCATTTGAAAAGAAAAATGAATGGATTTTCTTCTAAGTAGGCAAAAGAATTTAGATTTTGTAGAGGTCTCTCTATCACAATACAATTGAAAACTGTTTTCCCTGAACCTTTTTATTAGGGAGGCTGTTCTGATCATGCAGTACAACGGTCTTGCAGAACACAGAATTAGAGCTGAACTGGCTAAGAAAAGGGCTTCCAGGTATCTGCCCGAGTCCAATCTTTAACTTGTTGTTGTTGTTAATTGCGAAGTCGTGTCCGACCCATCCGACCCCATGGATAACGTTCCTCCAGGTCTTCCTGTCCTAATCTTTAACTACCCAAGTGTTATCAGAAAAAAACTGCTAAGCCAGACCTTGGAAAATGCCCCTAATAAACAGAAAACATTGGAGATTACACCCCAAACAAGCCAGAGTTCCAACAAAACTCACTCTGCTTTCAAAAGGGCTTCTTTGGTGCAAAACTCCTGCTAATGGCAAAATCGTTCCTGACCCCTCAGTGGCCTAACATAAACTGAACAGAGCCTGTTGAGCCAGGGGAGGGATTGGCCCACAAGCCTCTAGCTGGCTCTGCAAAGCGTTCAGGGGCATCCCCTCAGAACAGGAGTCGATTCTAATCCCAGGGGAGCTCAACACGGGTTTGGATCTATGGAAGGTGGGAAAGAGACGGGGGCTTAACAAGTGAATCCATGTGATGGGCTAGAACTGATAGGAAAAAAAAATTGGGTTTAAATGTTTCTCACTCTGACTTCTTGAAAGGAAGGACAGAACTAGCATTCCTCAGCCTCAGTGAGAATGACGGAAGCATTAGTTCGTCAATCTGAAAAGACTGGAAAAGCTAGTCCAATCTTTTCAGAAGCTCAGCCAGCAATATTGATAGCACAAACGCCATTTGGGAAGTCGATTTATTTATTTATTTCCCACTCACCTCTCTACGAGGCAATTCTGGGTGGCTTACATACAACACTAAAGTTGCTTTTTGTTGAACTCAGTGGCCTGAAAAAGGAAGGGCTCTCAGGGCAAAAGTTGCCTTCCTACGGCTCATCCGTGATCTGAAGAAAGTGACTGTGGGCAGCTGGATCTTTTATGCCCTCCCCACTCCCAATGCAGAAGTCAGATCTGAGAGCCCCATTTAACACTGGACAATCAAGCCATGGATTTGCCCTTTTGTTTTATTTTATGACTTATTGGGGGGGGGTTATCCTAAAAAAAAAAGAGAGCGAACTAGTAAGGAGAAGAAAGAGAAAAAATGTCTCCAAAATCTTCAGCAACCCCTCAATACCCACCTTTATTCTTTCTCCATTGAGCGGGTTCTTCAGCTGACTAAAATTGTCCACAAATTAAATTTATACCAAATATGTAAACCACTTTGAAATTGTTCAATTATTGTGACCTGCAGAAAGTTCTTATGAAAAATGTATAAATACTAATTAAAAAAACGTGTGTGTGTGTGTGTGTGTGTGTGAGAGAGAGAGAGAGAGAGAGAGGGAGGGAGGGAGAAAGAGAGTTGTATCCATTAACAGTGGATACAGTGAAACAGTGCTCTTAGTCTCTTTTTCTACTACTCCAGTCACCTGGCAAAGTATTCTTCAAATCCAACGTTCTAAGCAACTTTGCTGATCAGAAAGAAATGTGCTTTGGTACCTTCAACTCCAAGAGCCGCCCCCCCCCCCACACACATTTTCCCAGTTCACTGCTCCCCTCCTTCCCAGGTGCCAAGGAAGACCCACTACCTACCTTTTCCAATCTGAGAGGAGCTTCTGGTATGCTTGAATCCAACACAGGAAGCTCAGAACTGAAGGTCTGGAGGTAGAAATGAAGGCAATCTGATTTATTGATTAGAAACAGTTTTAACAACAAAAATATGACAAGAACCTCTCTTGAGACAAATCAAAGGTTTAAACATAAAAAAAACCTTAAAATAAGCTTCCCTCAAGTTAGCTAAAGTGTTGTCACTACACTGAGACTAAAAGATGATGTCCCTCAATCCTAGAAGCAGAGTTGCCTTAGAAGTAAAAAGGGTAGCCTATAAATATAATAAATAAAAATAAATAGAATCATAAAATCAAAGAGTTGGAAGGGATCCTGGAAGTTTTCTGGTGCAAGCTGCTCTCCCCCCCCCCCCCGCCAGGAATCCTAGGACGAGCCCAAACAAACAGCTGTGCAGCCTCTGCTTGAAATCATCCACTGATGGAGGAATCCTCACAATTCCACACTGTTCAACAGTTGTCATGATCCGGAGGTATCTCATTCTTTGAAATTTAGACCTTCTCTATAAAGCTTCCACTCACTGATTCTTCTCCCATTCTCGGGCCCCACGGAGAGCAAATCCATACTGTCTGCTATTTCTCAGGGCACTCCCCATGAAAGGAGTGGCAGGGAGGGGGGCTGACTGCCCTGATCCTTCTGAGGCCTCAGTCAGGGGGTCTCTAAGGAGAGGGGAAGAGAAAGCATCACTTCCTTCTTCATTTCACCATGGTTCAGTTGTGTTAAGATTATCAAAATGGTACTTTCCACTGCTTCAGACACACATAGTCCAGTCCTGATTCAGAGGATTTGGGTAAGTTATGACTTCTAACAGGGAAGAAGTGTACAATCTGAGCTTTGGTGGTAATGGAGCCTGAGTCAGGGGGTGGGGAAGCCACATGCTTTGTCCCAATGACTTAGCAGGTACAGAACTGGCCATCCATCCCTAGGTCGGCCCGAGCTGTCAGAAATTCTCCAAGCACCCCTGACAACAAATTGGTTTCTTGCCTACACACCAACTTGCTGTCGGGGTGCTTGTAGAATTTCCCCTGATCATAGGGGAGGGGAGGAAAGAAAGAGAAGACAAAGAATGGTAGAAAGAAGAGCAGCAGCAACTGGGCAAGACACACTTTCTGGAGCAAGGCAGGGCCAGAGCTGGAAAAGTAGCACTGGGGAACCACATCGGAACATTGGCAACATGTTTCTTTTTTCTTTTTTTAAACAAAATTTTACTAAATTTATATAAGTGAGGAAAAATAGGAACAATACAGGTATGGTAAAGTAAGGGGTAAAAGGAAAGGGGGGGAAGGAAATAAGGATAGGTACAATCACATATTTCAACAAACAAGCAACCATCCGGATCATAATAAGTAAATATCATATTCAACCATTTTTAAACAAAGCTTAAACTGTAACATATTAAAAACAATTAGTAAACAAATACGTTGATCTCTTAAGTAAACACTACTAATAAAATCTCAAAAAAATAATAATAAATCCTAACAATCAAAAGTAACAAATGAAAATCAGTAGATCAGGAAAAGTAATTGTATCATCAAAATGTTAGTTAGAACTCAATTAAAAATCAGTCAACTATTCTAAAATATCAAATCCTTCAAATTCTAATGTGTCTCTAACCATTGATAAAATTTTTCCCAAGTTCTAAAACAAATTGAGTCATCTTTTTCTTTCATTTCTAATGTTAGTCTATCCATTTCTGCACACTCTAAAATTTTGGTAATAATAATCTGGTCAGATGGTAGATTCTCATTTTTCCAAAATTGGGCAAAGACTATCCTTGCAGCAGTTAAAACATGCAATATCAAGTAGTCATTCTCTGGCAAAATGTTTTTAGCTCCACCTCCACAGGGAGAGGAGGACTCCCCCAATTCTAGGGTGCCCTGCCACACCATAAGAAAACAGTTTTTCTTCTCTAGGTAATAAGAGAGGCAGCAGCCTAGCTAAGAAATCGACACAGAAAAGTGGACTCACATCAGTAAGTGTTTCTGAAGCATAGTTGATTTTTTTCCCAGACAGCATTGCCTGAAGCTCCTCAAGACTCGCATCGATACAATTCAAGAAGTCTTGGATCTCTTCTCTGTGAAGGGAAGCAGGGAAATATAAATGTAACACAGAGACAGACAGAAGGAGGAAGATGCCTTTTTACCGTGTTCCAAGAAGAAACTCAGAAGGGCCAGCTTGATTTGGCATAGCACAGCGTTTCCCAAACTTGACCATTTTAAGGCATGAGGACTTCAACTCCCAGAATTCCACAGCCAGCAACGCTGGCTGTGGAATTCTGGGAGTTGAAGTCCACATGCCTTAAAATGGTCAAGTTTGGGAAACACTGGAATAGCAGAATGTCCAAACTAACTCGGCTCCATCATTCCAGCTCGCTTTTTGCCAAATAGAAAGGGGAGGGTGATGGTGAATTCCTAGAGAGGGGGGAGGCTATGAAATGCATAGATGTTATCCACCAAGGTCGAGTTATGAAATATGTTCAGTAGCACAGAACTGTTTCCCACAACAAAAGAACTAAACTCAATAGATAAATTGTGGGTGGCCTGGAAGGGAAAAAAGGGTTTTACCTACGGGAGTTTTTGTGGGAAAATCCCAGACTTGATTTTGCTTTTGCTGTGCCTAGTTGGCTCTTTCAATAAAGCTTTACTCTTGATAGTTTTAAAGAGTTGGGAGTTTCTTTCACTGAATGTGCCAAATAAGACAGTTGACATTAAGTCAGTTCTCACAGCAGTGCCTACCTGGACCCCACCAAGAGATCAGTAGCCCCGACATGTCGGCTACAGGCAGAGAATAGGAGAGGAAGAAACCAGGAGAGCTCTGGCCCAAGAGGCCCCAGCAGCGCTGCAGGCCAGGGCAGGGCCACCACCTGAGGTTGCGCATCCCAAGCTGAGAGCCCAAAAGTTAGAACTGCAGTCAGTGAGCTTAAGGGAGCGACTACCAGGGACCGAAGACCTGCTGGGCAGCAAACTTGGGGAAGGTGGCAGAGCCAAGGACTACCTAATCCCAGCAGGAGTTAACATGACCCGAGGGAGCAGAGGGAAGGCGAAGCGACCGGTTGAGTGGGACCAGCCGATCGAGTGGAAGCTCCCCACTGCAGCCAGTAGCCCATCGATGGCGCAGCTGGGAGAGAAATTTAGAGGCCTCGAAATTAAGTTCTATTCTATGACTCCCCAAGAGTTAGAAGAGCTGCGCAACTTCATAGGTAAGAATTTGGCACAGGGTTTCATTCAATCAGCAAGACCAAAAATGGCTGCCCCAGTGCTATTTCGGGAAAGATGGGTCTCTTCGTCTCTGCATAGATTATAGATGCTTGAATGCTGTGTGTGTGAACAATGCCTACCCTTTACCGCTCATGAAGGACATGTGAGTCCACCTCTCAAAGGGAAAGATTTTCTCAAAACTAGATCTGCAGGAAGCATATTACCAGGTTAGAATCAAGGAGGGGGATGAGTGGAACATTGTGCTCAACTGCCCCTTGGGGTGCTTCCAGTTCAAAGTACTCCCATTTGGGCTACAGGGAGCACCTGCAGTGTTTATGCAACTGATTAACGAGGTCCTCCAGGAGCACCTATACAAGGACATTTTGGTGTGCCTAGATGACATATTAATCTACATCGAAACGAAAGCTGAGCATGTCAGATTAGTCGGCACAGTTTTAAACAAGTTGCGTGCAGCCAAATTATATGCCAAACTTTCAAAATGTGAATTCCACAAAGAAAAGATTGATTACTTGGGTTACTAGATTTCTCACGAGGGCTCTCATCGGCTTTTCCCCACAACAACTTAGCACCTATGGATTGGCTCAATTCAAACCAGCCGGATGGACAGTTGGGGTGGGGTTTGAAAGGGTTCTTTTAATGCAGTGCTTCTCAAATAGTGGGACGCGCCCCCCAGGGGGGGCGCGAGGCTCCATAAAGGGGGGCTCGTTTGACCTCGGCAAATACTGTCATATTGGACGCACGTGACACACGCAAAGGACCCGATTGGATAGATAGTCGCGCGGGGGGGCGCGAAATGTTTTCTTCTTCCTAGGGGGGCATGACAGAAAATAATTGAGAAGCACTGTTTTAATGTAACGTTTCACATGGGAAATCCTCCTGCCTTACTATCCTGCTAGCAATACCTTCCAATAAAACTTCCTGTTGAGACGGTGCAAGTTTCAAGAGTTCTGCTTTCTTGGAAGGCTTAACTGAGGCAGGTCCTTACAGAAATTCTCAGTTCCCGGTACAACAGGGGAAACTGCAATATTTGGTATTATGGAAAGGCTACCCTTTAGCTGATGCAGAATGGGTGGCAGCGACAGATGTGAAGGTAGCTAAGTTAGTGTGCAAATGTCATGCCTACAATAGGGAGACCTGGCAGCAATATCTAATGATGTGTGCAACGTTGCGTTTTATCTCCCAGGACTATCATTCTTCTGGAGGGTCAGCATCTCAAAACTGACTCGGCTCCCTCATTGCCTGCACCTGATCTGGCTCACATTTTGCCAAAGAGAAATGGGAGGGGGGTGAATTCCTAGGGAGGGGGGAGGCTCTAGAAGGCATGAGTGCCTGCTGTTGTCAGTGAGATGTTATCCACCAAGGTCAAGTTATGAGAAATGTTGAGCATTATGAAACTGCTTTCCCACAATGAAAGAACTGGACTCAATTGGTGAAGTATGAACTATGGGTGGCCCAGAGGTGGAAAAGGGGTTTTACCTGTGGGAACTTTCACAGGAAAATCCCAGAACTGATTTCTGTTTCTGCCGTGCCTAGGTGGATCTTTCAATAAGGCTAGTTTTAAAGAGCTGGGAGTTTCATTTGTTGAATGTGCCAAATGAATGGTTGACAAGGAGGCCTTTAGTTTACTGGATTTACATCTCATTTTCATGCCACACAGTAAGATCACCTAGGTAAAAGGGAGGATGAGAAGCAAGGGTTTCTTTCACAGCAGTTTATGCTGGAGAAATAAGGAGCAAGAATCGAGCAAGGGATTTACAGCTGCTGCTCGACAGAAATACCCAGAAATCCTTTCCCTTTCTAAGGCAGGCTGAAAAGTGAGAGAGGCAGCAGCTCCAGAAACAAAGGGAAAAAACCAGGGTTTCATTAATAAACAGTAGAACCAACTTTCTTGGAAAGGGGGGGGGGGTGCTGTCTGATGCCAGGCAGGTACTTGTCATGGATGGCAAGGAAGAGACTAACCTCCTTCAATGCCATAGTTCTGTGGCAGGGGATAATCCCGCTAGGTGTTGCCTCTCTGAAAGTAGACACACCTGTGAAGGAAAGAGTCACTCGATGCCGTTGTTTGGTTTTCATTCATGATGGAATCGATCACTGCTGCAGCTTCTTCATTAGCGGTGACCTGTGGAGTCTGCAGCTCCACAGCACAAGACTGGAGGGAGCTATCCATGAGCTGGACCGAATGGTCGCCTTGGGACAGTTCTGGCTTTGAGGTCTCTAGTACTCCACAAGTGGGAATTCTTTCTCTGATGGGCACAGAAGCCTTCCTGAAAACACACAGGGTGAACTTTCACTTTCTCCAAATGGTGCAGTCAAGTACCAAAGCACCTTCCACAGCAGCCCAAAGTGGAGAGAACCCTCTTTTTTCCAACGGGAACCCTGCACTGCTGGCATCTATCCATTTTAAAAGAGCAAAGAGACTCTTGAATCAAATCACAGCATCCATACAGTTTTCTTGGCAGGGCTACAGAAGTGGTTTTGCATCCTTTTCTAATAACATGTTGATTTCCTTTCCCAGAGTCCCTAATGGTATGGATTGATCTTAGAATCTAAGCAAGATCAGTGTTGGTTCATAGTCGTCTGGGGACCCACATATGAATTTGAATATTGTTGACTAGACTGGGAACTTGAAAGAACATTCCATAAGGAGATAAAAGCAAACTTCTTCTGTAATACTGCATGGATGCCGTCACCAAAGGTTTGAGGGCATCTTTGCCTTTAATTCTCCTTTAAAACAGAATCCAATTCATTTGAAATCCACTCTACGAGGATCCCTAAAAGGAAGGTTTTAATTAGGAAAGCCCCATTCCTTCTAAAACTATTCCCAACACTCTCAGCACCACATAAATTTGCCTTTTGAGAAGCTGCTATCTCCATTTTCATGGCATTATCAAGTGTTAGGGGTACCTTTTGGGCCAAGCTCACATCTAAGTAATTTCGCCAAGATCTGAATCTAGCAGAGCTGGGAGAAGCTTTGGATATCCTAACAAACCATAACTGACAATGTTCAACTTCAGAGTGTTTAATCTGGTTTCATACATCCACAAATGCCACAAACTCTCATCCTGTTAGCTATATAAACCAAGCCGTCAAAAAGCCATCAAATATCTACTTTTTAAGACTAATTCCCAATTCTATTTTTTCTCCCCAGGAACATGGCAGTAACCAGATCTCAAATAAAGATTTTACAGAGCAAACAAAACTATATAGACATATCCTGGCGACACCTCTAGGGTAAAAATATTCAGCACTTCGATCACTTGTAGTGAAGCAGCCTGGCTCAGCTTCAGTGCTGTCTCTCCGTAAAAACATCTGAATATCTATAACCTCACCAACTTCCATGACTGGAGTGCACCAGCGGCAACAGCTTCTCTGGGGCAGCGTCTTCTGCGTCCTCTGCTTCCTCTTGAGCATCTGTGATGTCACGAATGATAATGGAGTCTTGGCAGCCTGGGCCATGCTCTGAAAGAGCTGTCTAAGGGCACAAGAGAAACCAGCAGTGTATCCAACACCCTTATCATTGTTTTTCTTATTCAGACAATTGTTAGAATAGTAAAACTATTATTGCTCTGGCAATTAGGAGAATTCCTAGTGAAACTGAAATACATCATTAAAAAAATTAACAAGCATTATTAAGAGGTAATTTTATAACCAACTAAGCTAGAATTAATTCAACATGAACTGCCTTAGGAAAATAAAGGAGAAAAACAAAACAAATCTTACAGCTTCACAGTCTTCCACGGGAATGTGCATGTACTGGTGGGTATATTTTGCAGGCGAAGAGTCTGAAGCATCAACCAAAGGCCTAGGAGAAAAACACAGAGAGCTCTATTGCTATGGAGGTGGATGGACAGGTGAGCTGCAAAGATTTGTATGCAGAAACCACTGCATGCACGTAATGGAAGTATTCCCCAATAAGAAAATCATCACCAGAGAAATGGCTTGGTAAAAACAAAAATAGGCTTTGATCAACTTGAGTTTTTCACCTCTCAGACATCTAAACAGTCCAAGAAATTAAATATGCAGAGGGAATCTTTACTCCCTTTTTAAAAGAAACAAATAAATTAACATTTGCATGCTTCTGAAGGATGCTTTTTAAGACACTGGACAAACTGAAGAAATGTTCATTTGATTACAACGGTATTAATGCAACTTCTTAATTTTGCTGTATATCTATCTTGATTTAGAAAGCAGCCCTGATGAATCAAATATTGTTTACCCCTTTACAGCTACCAAACTGATTGGAGGATTATGAGTTTTGATAGCCTGAGCTTTGAAATCATAGCTGGCAATTCACAGCATTTAGGAACCAAAGTTGAGGCAGGCTTCCAGCACAATCAAGGCATAATCATTATTGCATTAAAACGGGCTGACTTTTCCTAAGAACCACTTACATCTGGAATATAGTACAATCTCCAACCAATAAATATGAATGACAAAATCCAAGGCAGCCCTTTCTTGTGCTCAAATGAAAAGAAAATCATAATTTTTTCATATGAGAAGTTCTTGTCTTGGAAAATGTACCACAGCCATTTATTTTAACATAGAATGAAAGACCATCTGCTTTCCAAATGCACATACCCCTTTTTGGAACCCCCCACTAATTATAACCATCCAAAATGTTTTTTCTGTGCACATGAATAAAAAGGACATGAGTTCGACATCTGGACACAATCGTCTGAACATTCCCAATTGGAAGAAGCCACCGGCCAGCCCTCAGTCAGCTCTGCAGTCTCTGGGTCTACAAGCTGAAGCTCAGCCACCCACCGAAATTAGTTTTAGCTTTAGTTTTAAAACTTTAATTAGCTTTAAACCTTCATATCCTTCTGCATAATTTTCTCAGTAAGAGAAGTAAGAAGGGGTTCATACAATATGCTCCTTTGAAGTCTAAGACCTGGAGGAAATACAGCCACATTTTCTCTGCTCTTCCCCATTTCTCTGTGGCTTGTAGAGAGCATCCCTGGCCTGTTCAGGTTTCAAGTTTCAGCTGCAGCAATTTTCACCTGATGCTAAGAAGAAAACCAAACCTACAACAAGCTGCAGGTCTTTGAGGTTTTTTTCTGGTAAGAGAAGCATCTGACAGATTGCTACAAATAAATAAATAAATCAAGATGAAAGTTCAGAAAGAAGTCAACTCAAGTGTCTGGCATGTTACAACAAACCATAAGCAGAGGGTGTGCCCTGAGCAACCACAAATACTCTAACACAGGTAAAAATAATGCTCACAAAGAGACCATGAAAAGACAGGCAAAGTAATTAGAAATAGAAGCAGGATGAGCAGCATTTTGGAACCATTTCAACTGTTCCATTTGCTTCCTCCTAACAGGAAGGAGCCCTATGAAGTTTAAGAATGCTTTTCAGCTCATTTTGAATAGCAACAGAAGTATAAAGTGAACAATTACCTTTTTCTTTTGCGCCCCAAAATGCAGTTTCCACTCATTAAACCCAGTATAAATTCAAGGATCTGAAAGAAGAGGGGAAAAGTAACAATCTTCTCTCAACTCAACCATCACACTCTCAAAATTAAGTACAAGAACAATATTCAGTGGTGCAAACTAGAACTGGCAAAGGTATTAAAAACTTTTCATTAACTCCTGCCTTTAGCTCATACCTCCTTCAAATAAATAATACAAACACACTACACATATACACATGATATGCTATCATCACGGACCATCTTACATAAGATTGAAAATCTGCAGATTTTAAAAATCCTATCACTCATAATTACAATAACTTCTACTAGCAGTTGAATATTTCACCGTGTATTTATTTGCTAGATATATATTCCATCTTTTATCTCTGAGTTCAAAGTAGTTTATTTAAGGAGCCCCCTTCACCTTATACCCCTAAGAGAGACAGGGTGAGGGAATGTTATCTGTTGAAGAATCCCAACGCTGAGGGTGAACCTGAACCTCACACTTCCTGGTCCTGGTCCAACACCTTAACCAGTGCAATTATTTACCCTTATAAGAATAATTGAGGATTTTGATAATACATGGACTGAATTATCATTCACCACCTTACATGCCACCAGGTCAGAAGATGTATTAACAGAGCAATGGATCACATTGGCAACATCTTTGCTATCATTTCCTCAATGTCAGCAGACAAATCTGCTCCAGATTTGGGACCCCCTGCAATTCTCTTCCGTTCTCTCTTGCACCAGAGAGAACTCCCAATTACAGGACCTAAGCCAGCAGCTTTCCTCTATGGGATGTCTTCCCTCTGCACAATATTTCCTTAAAGATGACTACTATAAAGATGTTCAAAGCCGAGGTGCCGCTCAGGTATTTCCCCTGAACTGTATCCGAAGAGGGATAAGAGGGGAGGAGGAAGGATGGAAGGAAATTGGTTGGGAGGAAGGGATGAGGGGAGAGATGAGAGGAGAGAGGGAGTAGGGAAGGAAGGAAGGAAGGTTGAGAGGGCGGATGCAGTCGGGGAGAGATAGACGAGCGACACCTAAGGTTCTATTTTAAAGGTATTTTTCTCTTTTATTTATTTTTTCTTATATAACGTATGGAAAGTATTATATGTATTGAAAATTTAAATAAATTTTTTTTCAAAAAAAAATGTTCAAAGCTGCTTTGTTTCATCTTTTCTCCCCATTTGTCTTTGACAGTGGTGTCTCTGAGTGTTGCATAAACCTGTACAAAGGGAGTCATTTGCTGCAAATGTTCTACAAAATATTCTAAAACTCCTTTCAACTATGAGTAAAGGCAGTTTAAATAATCAATCAATCTCTGTGAGTTTCACTGCACAGGGATTTAACTACTTCTGATTTTCCTTGCCACTCAGAATGCAATTAAAAGAAATTTTGTTCACTGTACAGTGAACTTTTAGTTCCTATATTTCTTTTGATTCTCTAATCAGGCCCCTTTATATTTACCTGATTCAGAATACTGTTTTTTGCCCTGTGCATGGATCTTATTGTGGGACTTTTCTTACACACTCGGAGATTGACTTGATGCATTCAGCCTGAACCAAGATGCACAGAATAATATGAAATTATAGGATGATTCAATGTACTAGAAAACACAGCTTTTTGCAGCCAACAAAATTTGCCTGCAATTTAATGGTTGTTCCTTTCTTGGTTCAGTGAAACTTCTGAATCAATGGCCTATCGACTGCAAAATGATTTATCTAGACCACACACTCATTTTAATATTTTAAAAAAATCTCTGGGACTTTTCTTTTGCTATTTTTCTTCCATTCCAGTCCTTCCAAGTAATCAGTAGGACTTCCACACTTCAGCTTTCCAGCCCAAGGAGACCTTCTGCGACTGTCTGTTGAGTCTCTTCCTTCCAATATCTCTAGGAATCTGGGGGCTTTCTGAGAAAAGTTGTATCTTGCATTTAGACTAGCTCTTCTTCTAAGTACTGGAACAGGCTAGATCAGGGGTAGGCAACCTCGGCTCTTTTATGACTCATGGACTTCAACTCCCAGAATTCCTGAGTCAGCTATGCTGACTTAGGAATTCTGGGAGTTGAAGTCCATGAGTCATAAAAGAGCCGAGGTTGCCTACCCCGGGGCTAGATCATTCTTAGGACCTGTCCTGGATCAACTGACTCCTGGTGGCAACAGGATGGTGGGGCTGGAGGGCTCCATGTGGGGGACAGACGCTCTGGAGCAGAGGGCTCCAAGCCAAGGCCAGACTGTTCACCATACCTTCGACAAGAGCTGCTGCTGGTGGTTGTGCTTCTGGCGCAGACAGGCAACCTCTTTCCAGAGGGCTTTGTTTTCCCTAGAAACGAAGAGCAGAAAGAGGCGAGAGGATGAAAGTGAGCAGACTTCCAAGGGTTCAGGGTAGTCCAGTAGAGACTTTTGCAAGATGATGATTTGGGTTGCTGCACTTAAGGGAAGAAGGATGCATGAAAGCAGAAGGATACTAACCAGCTTTCCATTCTAAAAGACCCAGAATGGAAAAGGAGATGCCATGGGACTTTTCCCTGGAAGCTTGTGGGGCAAAAAGAGGCTTTTTCTGAAATGATGTGAGGAAGGGGTTCACTTAATCATGCTTGAACTACAGTAACTGCCAGGGTTCTGAGAAGGATGTTTCTCAGCTCTGCTCCATGAGATCCTTTAAATGGAGACTTGGAAGGCCAAAGTCACAAGAGATCACTGCTCAGGAGCAAAATATTCATCCTGCAGGCAAAAAACACCAGCATTTCCAAGAAGAATGATTTCTTTGGAAAGGGACAGGCAGAAAGTTTTGTATCTGTAGACATTAAAGGGTTACACAGCCTATCAGTCCAGCCCTTCATCAGGCAGCTTTTTATAGACTTAGGTCACCTTCTGCTCTCTCAATGATTATGAATCTTTTCACTTCCCAAACTAGACCATTCTTAATTAAAACATTAAAGGACAACAGTTAAACTTGCAGGGGAGTGAAATCTCAGATAAAATTCTGCAACTGAGCAGGCCAACTCAGCAATCAGCAGGAGCAAGATCTTGGGGGACAGAGGACACGAACATTAATAAGAAAACAATCTTCCTCCTAGATTTGCAATTATTAGTATCCACAACAGCAAGAGCTTTTATTTCCTTTTCCAAGTGGGTGGATGCCAACAAGTCCACCTTTCCGTACTCAGGGAATCCCTTCATTTGATCCGCAGCTCTATAGATGGGGTGGAAAACTCCTCTCATGATTTGCCTCTCAAATACTTGTTCATGCTGCATTTAGGGTGCTGCACCTTTTCATACTTTCCAGCTTGATGTCCATATTGTTCTGCTGCTCTCTCATCTCCTGGACCTCCAACAACACTTTGTGCAAGTCATCTGGACAGATTTTGAGATCTTCCGGCCTTACTGTGGCCACCTATGACAGAGTAGACTGAAGATGATAATATGAACATGTTTATAAGGGACAAACACAATTGAAATTTGACTCATAAGGAAGACACTGAAAATATGCAGACACACTACCTTCCCCTTGCCAATCATAGATGATAACCCAAAGCTGCTGTTTATGCCCACTCAGGAATAGCTACCTGGGCACTCACCTACCCCAGTACCAGAATTGTACTGAGAAAGGAGGATTGCAACATCCCATTAAGAAAAGCGCTCACACAAGTGTAAAAGGAAAAGGCTGTTGCGATTCCGTACCAGCCAGTGGACCCAGCAGCTGAGTCTGGGGAATCAGAGGAGGAGGAGGAGGAGGGGCCTGGAGAGCCATCAGAGTTGGAGGAAGGTCTGATGAGCTCCAGGACCTACAATTTGATGAAGAGCCTGGCCCCTCCACTCGTGCTCAGGCTGAGACCAAGCTGTGCTGGGAAGCTGAGTCAGACTCTGAGGACTCACAGCTGGAAGACATCATAGACACTCACAAACGCAGGCAGGCAACAAGAGCAGGACAGAGGGAGGTAATGGGGCAACTCCAAGGGCAAAGGAGAAGGCATTGAGATGCCACGCCTTGGAGCTGCATAATAAAAAGGGACACTGTGGACGGTGCTGATTGCTCTAGGCAACTGTTTGCAAAGGACTCAAGTTTCATGGAATCATGTTCTGTTTGCCTTGCCTATGAACAATTCTCTGTTTGAATCTTGCTCTGTTTCCCTTTGGACAATTCTCTGTTTGAATCATGTTTTGTTTGCCTTTGAACAATTCTACATTTTTCTATTCTATATTTAATATCCTGGAAAAGATCCCCAAGAAGCAAAATACCTCTGAAAGGGAAGGAGGGGGATTTCCGCCCCACCCTTATACTAATGGAAGTGATGAATTAATCTTTTTATGAAGGATCAAAATATATGGAAGTGAAATAAATACAAAACCTGAAATTTAAAACTTAAATCTGGATAAATCTAAAATTGTTTTAATGGTTAAGACTCTCATTTTAAAGATTTGTTCATTTTGGAAATTGAAAAACAAATAGTTGCTAACACCTAGTGGTGGATGAAGACTATGACAGCTATGACTTTAATATAAGACTTGGCAAAACCTGAGAAAAGCTAGTCTGTGTTTGTGACCTTCAAAGTTTTAACAACAAAGAACAGCTGTGATAAAAAAAAGACAATAATCTGGGCTGTAGACAAAGAGAGAATTATACATTTCAGAAAAAAAATCTTTTTTGAACTATTTGGATTACAAATATCTATTTAATTGGGACTCTAAAGCTATTTGCAGAGAAAAGAAAGGAAGAGAAAAACTCAAATACTTGGCCATCATGGATCAGAGACATGTAGAAAGAACATATCAAGAAAACATAAATACTTCACAGGAGGAAATATATAGTATACTGCAACTAATTCAAACAATGACTTTAAACCACAAAGAAATCCAAAATAACTTTGAAAATATAAAGTTAATTCTACAACAAAAAAATTTCCAGAAAACAACAACAGAGAAGGAGCAGACAAAACAGATAAATGGATATAGAATTGAGAATAGAGACTTAAAGATGGAACTTAACAAAACAAGGAAACATGATTTAATCCTAGTGGAAAAAAATTCACAAGAATTGGAAAAAACAACTTATCCCTTAAGACTACAAAATAAATCTGAGGATAAGAAAACTGATTGAATAAAATGGACTGTAGAGATGTCAGGAACATTGGAGAGAAAGGAAATGATAAGAGAAGCGGAGAGAAAGAAAAAGAAAAAGATTTTCAAGAAACATGGAAAAGCAGAGGCCCCGTACAAAGACACTTCACCTGATTTGCTTTTTATATCTACAGCAATATTTACAAACATACGGAAAAACTTTTTGATTCAGCAAAATACATTGATTAAGAAAGGTACTGGGCAAAAGAAAAAGATTAAAGTGGAAACCAAGGAAATAGATGATGGGGCTTACCAGAGAGAATACTTTTTAAAAAATTGTTTAAATATGGTTAAAGAAATAGAAAAGTTTTGGAATATATATGTCATTCTAAGAAGGATGAATTCCCTAAATAATATAGTATGGTTTTCCCCCCCCCCTTTTTTTGTTCTCTTTCTCGACAGGAGTAATATAAAAAAGTTGAAATGACTTAGATAAAGGAAATTTTAGATACTTAAATGTGATTGAGATTAAGAAAATTATAATGGATAAAAAATGTTTTGAATAAGAGTTAAAGGACCAGATGACTAGATGTATTAAATGGAATGTTTAAAGATCAAACATATTTTTAATTATGGTTAAAAAGAATAAGAAATTTAGGAAATAAATATATATTAGCTTAGGAGGGATAAATATTTTAAGTAGCATGTTATTTTTTATGTTTCTTTACTCTTGCTCTCTTTTTTTCATTGTTTTATCTATTCAAGAAATGTAAAAAGTGTGAGATGTTCATATGGAAAAATAGAGTTAAATTTTTAAATATAATTAATTTTTGAGAAAATCTTAACCAGTAAGAATACCTAGAATTTGGTAGGAGAAATAAACTAAAATAAAGACTGTAACAGGATCTATGATAAGACAACCAGAATGATTGGATAGAAAAGAAATATTATATTGATGTGATTATAATTTTTTAGGAATATTGGGAAAAAATATATATTTAATTGTTATCTATCAAAACAATAAGAATTGTATTAACTCAATGTTTGCAAAAGAGGATATTTTGGGAAAAGAGGAAATCAACTAAAACCATTATGTGGATTATGGATTATAGAAATCAATTGTTAATGATTGTTTTACAAATGACAACACACTGCTCACCAATTATTAAACGATTTATGTTTTTTAAAAAAATCAATAAAATATATTACAAAAAAAAAACCCATTAGCATGGATGAAAAACATCAAAGCCAAGAGTCCCTCCTCAAGACAAGCTCAACTCTGGAGACTTCATGAACCCACTCATAGGCAAGCGGCTTGCCTTGGCCTTCTTCTGCATTATCTTTTCAACTTCGCATTGCATTCTACTCTACAATCCTACAATGTGGGGGGGGGGGTAGAAATTGTCTCCCATCCGAGTACTAAAGAGATTCAGCCTGCTTAAGTTTTGGGGGTGGGCTTTTCTGGGGGGGGAGGGGAGATCAGCCAAGGTCCAACCCAATTTGCTCATAATGCTTTAAACCAGTGGTTCTCAACCTTTCTAATGCCGTGACCCCATTATACAGTTCCCCATGTTGTGGTGACCCCCAACCACTTATACATCACCGGGTGCCAGGGACATGGCCAAAGAAAAGGGGGAAAACATGGTGGACAGCCTTGTTTGGCGACCCCCGTGAAATGGTCGTTCGACCCCAAATGGGGTCCCGACCCACAGGTTGAGAACCACTGCTTTAAACAGAAAGTGGAGCAGGTAATATGTGATTGCATTGAACAGAGAAATTTTAACCAAGCAGCACACTACCTTCCTTTGGATGTTTGCCAGTAAATCGACCTTCCCTCTCTTGAAAAACGGATGCTGAAATTCAATGGCAGAATTCTTGTCACAGGTTATCATGCCATTTTCAAGTGCAATCACTTTTCTGAAGCCATCTGTAACAACATCGGGAGAAATTAAATGTGTTTGTGCCTCTGAGAAGCCCACTTTCATTTAGACTCTTACTTTTCCTTTAGTTAGATGCAAACTCCCCACTCAAAAGAAGAGTTACGATGGTCATATTCTGCTATGATAAAACCCATTTCCTTTCTTCCTTTTTCAAAGGGAAGAGTTCCGTGTGATAATAGAATGGAAGAACAGAATCTGGATACCAGCAGGGCAAAGTCAAGGGAAGGAAGATGGGTAATTCTTACAAGACAGCCTGGGATCCTTTTGAGTGTTTGAAACTGAAAGGACTAAATCAGATGCTTGCAGAATTAGCTATGTTATTTAGTATCAACTACCCCACTCAGTGCATGCAGCAAACAAAGACTCCTGGGCCATTCTTTGTTTCCAAGAATATAATTTACTGTGCAGATATGTATACCAGGAGTAGAGAAGCCAATTCTAATGGTTTCACACACAAACAGCATAGTTAAAAGCTCCCCTCTTTCCCCCCCCCCTCCCATTGTCACTTTACTCCATCCAATCAATTATGTTCAGCTTGTTTGGGCAACAGACTCTAGTGAACTTTCCCAGCAGGTGATCTTGGAAGGCTGGTATGTCTCACTACAGAGTCGGTGCTCTTGGATTCCATTACCCCCTCCCTTGCATTCCAACCCATACCCCCATTGCTTTTTGTCTGGCTGTGAGCTGGGTTTGAGACTCAAGCCATGCCACTTGGTTTTTATGCCCCTCTTGGCTCCTTTGGGTTCAGCAATGTTTCTTTGAGGAAGGTGTAATACCATCTGATTTTAAAAAGACCTATGTTTATATTTGACAATTTTCACGCCAGCTTCAACTTTCTCTTTTCAGCTAAGGTTGTTGAGGCTTCCAAGGGAGCCATGGTGGTGGAATTCCTTCTAGAATTGAGGGACACATTGTGGCTGAAAATGACACTCAAATGGGCTGTCAAAATCTCTCCGGAGTAAAAAGAGATTGCAAGATTACCCATCTGTATTCCCAGAAAGTTTTTTTGTGTGAGATAGACAATAGGAACTGTGTTTTTGTGACTGACTGGAAGTAGTGGGATTTCAATGTGCTTATAGCTGCTACCATTACTTAGGCTCACCTCTTGATCACTTCAGGGTTTGTTTGTTTTTTGCTGTTTTTTAAAGCTTGAGAACCTTCAAATTGGCAAGTCTTTCTGAAATCACCCGGTGAGGGTTTTTTTAATGGGCATAGAAAGTTTTAAAGTTATCTACCTCTACAGAACAATCAGAAGGTGTTACTGAAGAGTAATAAGCAACATGACCATTTTTCACACACGATCATTGCAGCATCCTCATCGTCACATGATCAAAATTCAAACACTTGGCAACTGACTCATATTTATGATGATTGCAGTGTCCTGGGGTCATGATCCCTTTCTATGACCTTCTGACAAACAAAGTCAGTGGGGAATCCAGATTCACTTAACTAGGTGTTACTAACTTAACAAATGTAATGATTCAACTTAACAACTGTGGCAAGAAAAGTCGTAAAATGGGGCAAACTCTCTTAACAAATGTTTCACTTAGCAACACAAAGTTTGGGCTTAATTGTGGGTCATAACTCAAGGCTACCTGTAGTTCCATATGACAGCATAATTTCATAATTCCTTATTTAACAAATCATGCTATCATATCACTTCTTTAATATAATGCAACTTTTTTCAATGAATTTTAATTCAGCACTGTTTGTTATTAGAAAATCATTCAAAATGTAACTTATTCTTGGAAAAAAGAACCAAGAACTGGAAAATACAAATCCTCTTAGTTTAAATCTGTATTTCTGAAAAAAAAATACTTGCTTTGTGTTGAAGAAAATTTCACTTCAAACATTGCAATTTTTATTCCTAACCCTGTTATTTCATTGCTTCATTAAATTACAGGGAGAAAAAAATGTACTTACAAAAATGCAAAACTACTTACTTAAAACTTTTGAAAACAAAAGTGAACAAGCAATAGCCTATTCCAACATCAAGACAGATTGCTGTAACTCCCAGCTCCAAAATCCCCCCAGAGGAGAACTATTTTCATCCCACTCCTGAATGGTGAAAGGATAGGACTTCTCCCCTGATACTTCTCCCAACCAAGGGCCCCAGTTATTTGGGATTTGATAACCAGCAGCACCATGGACTGAGCCCAGAGGCCTCCAGGCAAGTGATAGTCTGCTAAGCAGCTAGTAGTAACAGAGGAGTAGCTACACACTGTGGCAACTTCAGCTTCTAGGGTGTTTTCAGGCATAAACTCAACTTCAACAAATTGCAGTATGGTTACCATGTCTTTTCAAGGTATTAATTGTTATCTTGAGTCACTGTCCTCAATTTCTCCTGATCTAGGAAGGGAAGGAGGCAGCTGGCATGCTAGCCAAGCCTGCCCATAGCTTCCACTTATCCCTCTAATTCAGCAGCTCCGGACCTTTTGGGCACCAGGAACTGGTTCCGTGGAGAGATTTTTCTGTGGACCAAAGGGGGCGTGGTTTCACATGCTCCTTGCATCCCACCAATGGAGCTTTGCTTGTTTGCACGGCCCGGTTGCTGACGTGCTGTGGCTCAGTGCCAGTCCACAGACTGAGGGTTGGGGACCTCTGCTCTAGTTAGAAACCCAAGTCCAAGACAACCCCCAGATTGCAAACTTGCTCCTTAACCAAAGGAAACTCCAAGTTTGCTCCACCCCAACCAGTCCTTCATAGCCTCCAGGACTTCCAGTGCATCCAGTTCTGCAGGCCTTTCATAGCCTCCCAGCATAGCAAACAACTGTATATGGCCTACATCAGCATGGCCTGCTGGGGCCTCTTTTGAAGCAGCAATATGAACCTTGCAGAGGAAGTTGTTCCTTTATACCCCAAATGCAGCTTGGAAGCACCTTTTAAAAACCCATATACTGCTTTATAGCTATTGTACAGAAGGTGGATATTAAACCTTTTATATGAACCCAGTTATGGTGTAAAATATTTAAATAATTGTTATGAGAGTTTAGGTAAATACGGGGTTTTTATTTTAATGGACACTGGGTGCTGAAAATAACAAAAATAGGCAGAATCTGATACTTACAGATGTTGAGCTGTCGTATGAAGCTAGACAAATTGTTGTGTTTGAAGTACTTAGGAAGCAATTCTTTAGCAAACCTCTGTTCATCCAGAATGCAAAAATTCTGTCCATTCTAGGAAAGTTAAGAAAAAAATAAGTACAGGGAGAAAAAATAAAGATGTCAAGATCTACTACTCAGTGGCATCACTCAGTCCGTTATTTTAGTGCAGTGGTTCTCAACCTTTCTAATGCCGTGACCCCATAATGCAGTTCCCCATGTTGTGGTGACCCCCAAGTGGGTGTGGCCACCAATAAGAGGGAGTAGGACAGCTAGGGAAAAGGGAAAAAAATGGCGGACAGCGTGGTTTGGCGACCCCCGTGAAATGGTCATTCGACCCCAAATGGGGTCCCAACCCACAGGTTGAGAACCACTGTTTTAGTGCACCTCATCCAGCGGCATATATTGGTGGTGCACTAAACAGACTGTGAGAGATGTGACTTCCATCTCTTAACTAAAGAGAATCCATTAATGCAACCAGATAACGATGGCAGAGCAATTCACCTCTAGCTGTTCTCTACTGAGCCAGGAGATGAAGCATCTCAGAGCAACTTTTCTTGGGAGAGTGAAAGAACACACCCTGGAGCAGGTGTAGAAGGATTTGCCCATTTCTCTCTCTCTCCCTCATTATTTGGATATATGTTTTGGTTTGAACATCAGTAGAAGAGCTTCTGCCAGCAAGCCTTGCTTTGGCTCCAGCTACCTTTCACTCATTTTAGAATTATAGAGCTGAGAATTATCAATTGTTGCAGTTGTTGATGTCCTTAAAACTATAACTCATTTGTAAAATGCCTCTAAATGTATAGAAGTCCTTTTCTGAAACAGTGGGCTTTGGGTTTTTAATGTGGTGGGACACATTGACAGAGTTACTGTTGGGATGTAAGATGCAGAAAGATTTGAAACATTTATTGTAAATTTATATATGTGCACCACCCCCAAACCACAAGCCAACAATGCATTTTGATTTGACCTCCATCTGTGAAATGATAAGAGTTCAGTTTTGATTTTCCCAGACATTAAACATACCAAGGCTTGGGTTTTTTATTCATTATTTTATTATTTTTATTTTGCTTTCATTCCACTTTTATCATATACAGTAGTATTATATAAACAATAACATACATTATTGATTGATTGACTGACCACCTATCTTAGCACAGGGCAAATCTGGGTGGTTTATAATATTGAAAGATAAAGCTAGACAACATCTATAAACAATACAAATACTATACCAGTGATGGCGATCTTTTTAGAGACCGAGTGCCCAAAAACTGGCCCCATCCCCACTCCACCCCCTGCCACACACACCCATTGCCCATCCCGCTTGCCCGCAGTGCCATTCATCGTCTCCAGGGCCCACCGCAGATCACCCAGGCAGCCCAGCAGCGCTATGGCAGTCAAGCCCTCTGCCCACGCCCTGCAGCATCAGCTGGGCACAATGGGGTGTGAGGGCAGAGTCTTGTCTACACTGCCTGGCTGTCATGTCCTTGGCTGCACTGCTCCGCGTGGGCCACACTCAGGAGCGACTCTCCTTCAGGGGGGCTGCTGGAGAAGAGGGGGTCGCTGGGGAGGCAAGGCTGGGGCAATGGCATGTGTGCCCACAGAGAGGGCTCCAAGTGCCGCCTCTGGCACCTGTGCCATAGGTTCGCCACCACTGTTCTAGAGTTTGCCAATGAACATCTGAATGATTCAGAGGAGAACTGGGTAAGTGTTGTAGTCAGATGAGACCAAAATCAAGCTCTTTGGCATCAACTCAACTCGCTGTGCTTGGAGGAGGAATGCTGCCTATGACCCCAAGAACACCATGCTCACCGTCAAAACATGCAGGTGGAAACATTATGCTTTTGGGGGTGCTTTTCTGCTAAGGAGACAACTTCACCGCATCAAAGGGATGATGGACGGGGCCATGTACCGTCAAATCTTGGGTGAGAACCTCCTTCCCTCAGCCAGGGAATTGAAAATGGGTCGTTGATGGGTATTCCACCATGACAATGACCCACAATACACGGCCAAGGCAACAAAGGAGTGACTCAAGAAGAAGCACATTAAGGTCCTGGAGTGGCCTAGCCAGTCTCCAGACCTTAATCCCATAGAAAATCTGTGGAGGGAGTTGCAGTTTCAAGCTGCCAATTGTCAGCCTTGAAACCTTCATGACTTGGAGAGGATCTGCAAAGAGGAGTGGGATAAAATCTCTCCTGAGATGTGTGCAAACCTAGTGGTCATTCCAAACAAGTCTGATCTCTGTGACTCCCAACAAGGGTTTTGCCACCAGTACTTAGTCATGTTTTGCGAAGGAGTCAAATACTTATTTCACTCATTAAAATGCAAATGAATTTATAACTTTTTGAAATGCATTTTTCTGCCTTTTCTTTTGTGTGTCTCTCACTGTTAAAATAAACCCACCATTAAAATTATAGACTGATCATTTCTTTGTCAGTGGGGAAACGTACAAAATCAGCAGGGGATCAAATAATTTTTTTCCCTCACTGTACACTGGCACTGAGCAAGGGTCTCAAAAATTTAGACTGGACTGCTTTAAACCCTCAAGTATGCACAATACACCAAATACTTGGACTTTTTACTGATAAGGGAGAACATTTGTAGCTCAGGGCTGAAATGAGGGGTCCCTGAGGATCTCTGAGCTTGGCTGGTTTCTTGCAGACTTTTCATTACCTAACTAGGTCATATCATTAGTGCTAAATGGTGTCTAGTACTGATGTTACCCAGTTTGGGTAATGATATGTTTGCAAGAAACCAGCCAAGCTCACAGATCGCCAAGGACTTTTAGAAGTTTGCTTGCTGTGGGTGCATAGTTGTTGCTCCTGTAGATTGTGTATCTAATTGCATTAGGAAGCAGGCATAGGTAAGAAAGTTTAAAGAGTGGCATTTCCAGGAAGATGATCTGGAAGTATGTCTATATGGCTTCACCTGCTCCATTTAGTAGTTGGGGCTGATTTAGCATTTCATCTTGTTAATACAATTACCTTAGTTTTCACATAGATAATTCAGATCAACCAAAGATGTTAGCAGGTGGAAGCTGACCCACAGCCCCACGTGCAATACAGACAGAATAACAATATTTTCAGCATATAGAAAAATGAAAGTTGATTTTGTCAGGGATGAAATTTAGCTCTATTAAGGGCCTAGACCAGTGTTTCTCAACCTTGACAATTTTAAGGCATGTGGACCTCAACTCCCAGAATTCCACAGCCTAGACAATATCATGTATAAAATCAAATGGGGAGGAACAGAATATCTGTTTGAATACTTTAGAAGTTGTAGTTATGTCACTGAGGTGCCTTCATGCAACATAATAATTAACCGGGGTAGCCAGCAATTATCAGAGGAAGTTAATTTTCACCAAAATTCCTCAGAAATTAATGTTACTTTTCTCATAGAGATGCTTTTGGTAGACTGGTATATTTTGCTGAGAGGTGATGAAGGGAAAACACTGTGGGTCTATACCTATGTTGTTCATAGTATGTTTAGGTGTGTGTCATGTATGTTTCACTTTGAGAGCGGGCAACTAAATTTCATTTTTGAGGTGTGCCATGCCCACAGTATAAAAATGACAATAAAGGTTATCTTATCTTAGCACTCTAACCATAAACCCATATTCTTCCTTGACTATAATTTTTTGTTGGATCATCCTATCAAGAAACTTTTGGCAGAGGAGTTTCACAATTATGCATAATAAACTGATTGGCAATTAGCTGGTCTTCCCACTTTAAGATATTGGGATTATTAGGTCTAATGTGCAGTTCTCTGTCTTCCCTGTCAAACACATGGTTTGATAGTCTCTGGTGCATTACTGTTCAGTTTGATGCTCTTTGTTACATAATACAACTTATATATTTTGTTACAAGTCATCTGGGTCCTCTGCCAAGAAAAGGGTATCATCTGCATAAGAAATATGCCGAGTGATGGCCTAACGCAACTCACATGACGCCACAAGCACTTTTCATACTTATCCATAAATGCATTAAAGCAGTGTTTCCCAAACTTGACCATTTTAAGGCATGTGGACTTCAACTCCCAGAATTCCACAGCCAGCATTGCTGGCTGTGGAATTCTGGGAGTTGAAGTCCACATGCCTTAAAATGGTCAAGTTTGGGAAACACTGCATGACAGGAACTCGGCGGCGGGGTCATTGGCGTCAGCAAGGGGTGAGCTGGCCTTCGCTCTCACAACCGTGGCTTCACTGAGAACAAACTCCTCGGCCTTCCTGGCGCTCATGACCCTGCCGCCGAGTTCGAGTAATGAAACCCCCCGCAGAAAAACAGCCGTCGCCGCCAGGCCCGGGAGAGCGAGCGAGCGAGCGAGCTCGGTGGGCTCCTTTCAACCCGGGGCTGCCAAGGTTCCCCTCTGCCTGCTCCACCTTCCCAGGCAGGCCTAATAGAGGCGCTCCGGGAAACGGCCCGCGGCGGCGGGGGGGGGCAGCACCCAGAGGCCCCACAGCCTGGACGGCGCCCTCCCCGCGAAAGGGGCTGCCCCCCCCCGCTGCCTCCGCGCATGCGTCCTGCGATCCTCACCCGGCTCCACGAGATTACGTCATCGCTCCCGGGGTCTTCGACCAGGGCCCAAAGTTTGGCCAGGAAGCCGGGGACGGAGGAGGAGGCGCCGGGCAAAGCCGGGCCCGCGCCCACCAGCGCCACCGCTTTCTTCATGACCGACCCGCGATGCCGGAAAGGCGTCAGTAGGCGTGAGGGGCGAAGGACGTCGCCGGGCCGACGTCACGTTGAAGGGGCACGCCCGCGTGCCCGGCTCGGCTTCTCATTGGCGGTTCCCGAAGCTGAACCCGCCTCTTCGCAGGGCTGGCGACCGGTTTCCCTCGGTTCTCTGGAAAGCGGGGAGGGGGGGTGTCCCGGGGGTCCCCGCGCCCGCCGTAAGATTTGGAAAAGAGGCGTCGGAGAATCCGCTCGGCGTCGGTGTGCTCGAGCCTTCGTCCGCAGCTCCCCGGGGCGGCGCTGGGTTTTCTCGGCTTGCAGCTTCTAAAAGCCGCTCGGGCAATTTGGAGCAGACGCACTGCGGGCTGAGGAAGTCTGGAAGGAATTCGCCCCGCTGCTCTCCGGGGTTTCCTGCAGGGAAGCGGCCCCTTTAAGAACTCCCCCCCCCGCCGAGTGTTTGAAAAGCCGCTTTCCCTCTTGAGCCCGGGAGCTCTTCCGATTGCCTTAGGTAAGAGTCCGCTTTCCATACTGCGCCCACTTCCGGTGACCCTGATAGAAAAAGAGGCGGAGGCTTTGTAAAGAGCGCAGGGAAGAGACGATGGGGGCCGTGGGAGCGGAGGCCGAAACCCACGGAGAAGGGTTGCAGGAGTTGCGCGTGGCCGGTCGAGAGAAAAGTGGGACCGGCGGGGGGGGGGCGGCACAGGATGGCGGGGTTCCACTATTTGAGAGGCTGCCCCAAAGAAAGGGGGGGTGTCAGAACCCGTCTCTAGGTGCTTTGGGAGTTCTGGTTCTTTTCGGGTTCTGCCAGTCTTCTGAGAGGGGGAGGGGGAACTCGGGGCTGCTAGAGTGCATTGCCTTTGCTTTGTTCCCTGCTCTATCCTCTTTTAAAAAACAAACAAACAAGTTTTATTAGTTTTTTAACTTTTACAACAAAGGGCTCAAGAAACATGGGGTAATCAATCATCCAAAAACAAAGATATATATATATGTATATGTATATATATATATACACACATATATATATATATACACACACGTATATTATACACACACACACACACACACACACACACACACACACATATGCCGAGGTGGCGCAGCACTGAGAGTGCAGTACTGCAGGTCACTTTAGCTGACTGTGTTCAGCAGGTCAGCGGTTCAAATCTCACCGGCTCAAGGTTGACTCAGCCTTCCATCCTTCCGGGGTAGGTAAAATGAGGACCCAGATTGTTGGGGGCAATGTAAATTTTTATATATATATATATGTATGTATGTATGTATGTATGTATGTATGTATGTATGTATATGTATGTATATGTATATGTATATGTATATATATATATATATATATATGTATATATATATATATAT